GAACGACAGCAGTGAACCTTCGCGAAGGCATCGCTGCCACTTATAGCTACATATATGAACGCACGCTGTTTGGTCCATCAATACATACGCGTACGAACAACAGCGGAAATTTTTTCTACCTAACATTCGCGAACGCGAACTATCTGGACTGGTTTTATGCTTCACGTTCGCGAAGGAGAATCAATACAGAATATTTGAATCGTTCACCTTCGCGTATAAAATCATAAATGTATGTTCGCGAAGATTCATATATGAATATATCCGAACCCTGGTTTGCACCATGTATTGTCTTCCGAGAGAGTTTTGCTCCACATCGAAATTCGTGCTCTTTTATTTTCTAAGTGTAGCGAATTAAACTTCACACTTAAATTTAAGACATTCATAACAAAAATGTAAGAAGAAAATCCCCGCTACGTCCTCCCAAATATAAACTGGGACGCAAAATTGAAGCAAGTTTTGCCTATTTTTCTTTAGTTTATTTAATGTTTATTATGGTTTATGGATATGTAGCTCATTACTTAACAAACAACATATACTACATCCAAATTTCACACTTTATTCTTTCTTTCTTTATTCTTTATTTAAAATTAGTACAATAAGACTTAGTCTTTTGAAGTACAACAGCAATATAAGTAACTAAACAGATTTAGAGGTAATATTAATACTATTAATGCTGGGAATAAAACAATAGATGTACAAACTAAAAATTATGGACTAGATAAAAACTTAAATATTAAGAAGGTTCATCAACTAGACGAGAAATATGTATGGAGGGAACTTTTAAAGTTGCTTTTGTTGAATTTGGTTTTAACGGCATGAGGAATAGAATTCCAAATACGAATAGCGTTAATGAAAAACAGTCTGGCAGAGTTTTTAAAGTTGTATGAGGGCAGAATTAAGTCAGAAGAACGTTTCGACTTTGGAAAAATAAGTTTGTCATACAGATAACGTGGGGTTCTCATATGTATAAGTTTATAGAGGAAAATGCAGTTCCTGGCTTTGTGTAAAAATTATGAAAATTATGCTAAATTTCAGCAAAATTTGTAACCTTTTAATCAACTAAAAATCGCTTAAAACAAAAATCATTGAAATCGGCTCACTATCTGAAGACTTTTCGGGTTAGAAAAAATTGTTTTTTAATTTTATATAACACAGTCCGACATGAAAATTTTCTCAGAGATAAGACTAGCCATTTCTACTAGATTTTGGATCACTAAATTTGTAAAAATAAAAACTTGTATATTTGAATTTTAAAAAAATAAGGCGAATACCAACTGGCAAAATCGGCTAAAAACGGCAATTTTTTTTTTGCAAAACGGCTATCAAATCGGCTGCCGGCTAAACCGAATTTTCTCCGGCTGTTTGCTATCGCAACCGGCTAAATCTAGCCGGAAAACGGCTAAAATGTCAACACTGCTAATATGTGTGGAATTGAATTGCAAGTTTTGAAAATTTTAGTTTTAGCGTGTTTGCTCATATTGGCCAATGCTCTTTCTTATTCTAACTATTCCCTTGTTTCAACTGAGTTTTTAGTCCATATTGAATTACACTGGAACTCAATAAGCTGAATTTGAAAAACTTTGATTTCCATCCAATTTATACAAGTTCAGTTTATCAAGTGAAGTCACTTCAGGATATATAATAAATGAATTTCCTTGAAGGCAGAAACCGTCGTTGAGAGTTTATTAGCAAAGAAAAGTCTTCAGTGACTCTTGATCCGATTTTAAATTTGTTAAGTTTAACAAACATTTGTAATTTTTGGAAAAAATAGGGCACATTCATAGTCAAAATAAAGACGACACTAAAGTTGGTTGCAGCTTTTTCTCATAATCAATTATCAATGTAATATCTGCCAAAAAAATCTGCTAATAAATTTAGAGTCAACTTTATTTCGACTATGAATATGCCTCAATATCTTTAAAAATAACTTAAAGTTTAGCTTAAAAAGCGCGAATGAGATCTATCCATCATAATTACAACAGTTTTATTAGAGCTTTGAAACTTCACGTTCAAATCATTGAATTTCTGGCGCATATCCATAAAGCCACCTATTTTGCAAGCCACATATAAAGTTGGAACTCCATAGGCAAGCGTATGCGTACGTATACCTGGCTTACCAAAGGGATCCTAAAAGACTATTTTTTTGAGCTATAAACCTTCTTATATCGGAGCTTTCCCTCATAAATGAGCTCTATTTGGAGCCCTAAATGAGCGATTTTTCGTTCTACGCGGGCACGGAATCTAAAAAGGTACTCCGAAAAGACTCAAAAACCGATGAATTCGGTGCATTTTATGATTCTTTTTCAGTGAATTTCGGAGCTCTTTTGGAGTCATATTTGAATGTTTCTAGGAGTGTTTTTACAGTCATATTTGAGCATTTTTCATTCTTTTTCTTCTTCTTTTCTGATGGTTTATTGGAGTCTTTTTGGAGTCATTGTCTAACATGTCGTAATGCTTTTTTGATGTTTTTTAAACCCTTTTTAATATAATAAAAACAACTTCTTTTACATCTCGATTTTAATTTTTTTACTATTATTTGTTATTAAAATATAAAGAATTTTAATAATTAAAAATACAAATACATATGGGTGTTCCAGCGGAAGGTCCACCACGACANTATACACCCCGTGCAAAGGGAAAGCTGAAAATTGTCACGAATGTTGCGAACGCCACTATAATTGAAATGTGCAAAGCCCCCATTGATCTCACTTTTCCAAAAAAAATTGTTCAATGCCAAAGGTCACATATTTTTTTTTGAGCTAAATATGTACACTGCCGGAATAAAGTATTACCGCAGCAAATTTTTCACAATATATGAAACAATTTTCATTCTAATATTTTTCCGCTAATTTTGTATAAAAATATGGTTCATTCTACAACAAAAAACATAAAAATATAATTCCTTAACTTTCTACAAAAGTCGCAAAAACTCAGCAAATTTTCAACTTTTTAATCAGATTTTTTAGAATTTTTTTGAGTATGCAGGGTTGTAGCCCAATAAATTTTATTATAATAAAATGCAAGTTTTAAGTAGCTAGGAATTACCGTTTTTTTTCACGCAGTCTCTCCATACAAAAATTTTTTTTCGAAAATACTTTATATGGAAAAAATGCAAAACACCTTCAACAAAAAAAAATTCTCAAAAATCAACGCGATTTTTGACTAATTCCGAACTTGCATTTAACTTAAATTCTTTGGAATAATTTGTAGTTTATTGTATGAAAATTTCAAAACGATCGATGCACAAACGACTGAGATATAGCGAGTTTAAATGAAAATTTTGTTAAAATTATCATCAAGAATCAGTTCAGCCCAATAATAACATTTCAACCAACGCCACGCTGCAGCTTTTGTACGTTCGATTACAGGAAAATAAATAGCAAAGACAATAGTTGCGTTCCCTAACTCGCAAGAAGTTGCAAGAATTTACAGGATTTACCAGAAAGCGTTCCCGTACTCGGTTCTCTGGCTTCTTTTGCTTCTTTGAGTATGCAGGGTTGTAGCCCAATAAATTTTGTTATAATAAAATGCAAGTTTTAAGTAGCTAGGAATTACCGTTTTTTTTCACGCAGTCTCTCCATACAAAAATTTTTTTTCGAAAATACTTTATATGGAAAAAATGCAAAACACCTTCAACAAAAAAAAATTCTCAAAAATCAACGCGATTTTTGACTAATTCCGAACTTGCATTTAACTTAAATTCTTTGGAATAATTTGTAGTTTATTGTATGAAAATTTCAAAACGATCGATGCACAAACGACTGAGATATAGCGAGTTTAAATGAAAATTTTGTTAAAATTATCATCAAGAATCAGTTCAGCCCAATAATAACATTTCAATCAACGCCACGCTGCAGCTTTTGTACGTTCGATCACAGGAAAATAAATAGCAAAGACAATAGTTGCGTTCCCTAACTCGCAAGAAGTTGCAAGAATTTACAGGATTTACCAGAAAGCGTTCCCGTACTCGGCTCTCTGGCTTCTTTTGCTTTGTGACAGTTTTACAGGTTTCAACCCAGAAAAGTTGGGGAACGCAACTAATAGCAAAGACAAATTTAAATTTGAACAAATCGTCGCCTGGCTTGATTCAAAGCGAACATTTGAAAGCGCACCTACATGTTGTGCCTGTAGTTGAGCGCGCAAAGATGCTGACTACAATAAGTTACGGCCGAAAGCGTCCAAGTTCAAATCTCACCATGCAGAACATATAATTTACAATTTTTATTTTCGTTTTTTTTTTACTTACGAAAAAGTATCTGTGAAGTGCACAACGAAAAAGAAACTGGTACTTTTACAGGCAACAAGTTACGCAGCGGGAGTCAGTTGTAACCTCCTAAGACAATTCCATGTTAAATGCGACAGTAGAAAGCAGGGACGTGAACCGGTTTTGAACCGAACCGGTTTTGAACAGGAAAACCGCTTTTTTCTATTTATTAACTGAACCATTAACCGAACCGAAGTTTTCCACAAATGTTTGATCCAAACCGAAAACCGAACCACTTTCTATAAAGGTTTAAAGGTTCGTTTCAACCAATTATCAATAGATAAATGTACCCACTTTTTTCTTTTTTTAAACATGGTAATACCTACCGTGTTTGTTTACAATGTGACAATATCAAATGTAAAGGCAACCCATCTCGTTTGACAGACACTTGACCCTTAACCTTGCGCGTTGTTGCACTTGACACTTAAACTTGCGCGTTATTTTTTGGTCTTCGAACTGTTGAACCGAACCGAAACCCCGGTTCAAAGACCAAAAAACCGCTTTGACGAACTACCGCGAGGTACCGGTATTCGACTCGCGAAAACTGGTGAATTCGCTAGTTCTGTACTAGTACTTTCCGCTGCAGGGTATGTACATTCATACGAGTACATACATACACATAAATATGTATATATGTTTGGACTTATGTATGGTTGTTTCATTTTGTTCACTCTTAGTTTTACTTACGGATTTATATTCATTCACAATTACTATAAGCTCTTTCTATATATTTCAGGTACTGAATAAATTTGACTATTTTTTCACGGGTGTCTTCACAATAGAACTGTTACTAAAATTGATTTCTTATGGCTTCGTATTGCACGACGGAGCCTTTTGCAGATCTGCATTCAATCTTCTTGATTTACTTGTAGTCTGCGTTTCTCTAATATCAATTCAGTCCAGGTAAGTCGTTTCGTGATTTTTTACGAGCAAATGTAAGTATACAATTAGATCATTTAATTTATTATATAATTTAATTGACAGTTAGTAAAAGATGCGGATTCAAAAATTTTAATATATTTTCTTTATTTTAGTTTTTTTTGGATTTCTCTATAATAATGAATCACCATCTTTTGGGGCTTTGTATACTTTTTTCAGTCTTACAGAATAACGGCTAAATCAAAAAAAAATATTTCAGTATTTTTTTAAATTAGTCCTGTGTGAAGAAAATGGAATCAGTTGTTTTCCAAAAACATTTGTAAAATATTGCCGACTTAAAACAAACGGGGTTTCGACATAACTTCCTCGGGCTTAACTTCCATGGGTCCGTGACTTAAGTTTCATGGAAGGTGCGTTGAGCAATTACCATCATCGATGCTTTGTTGCTATATGGAAGTAAATTCAGACTTCGCTACGACAAATCTGCTTCAGAAATAAGTTCAATCATAATTTTGTATTAAGTGAGCCCTCTAACCGGTAAGAGTGCCTCAAGGCAAGGATCACAAAAATCACCTTTTTCATATGAAGATGTAATGTTTCATTACACAAGTGAGATCAACGCTCTTGATCATACTTTTGATGACATTTCTTTCTCAAATTAGAATGTAATCCGACGGGCCGTTTGCCCTCTGTAATCCGTTTTTTGCGAATAGATGGAGGAGAATATCGTGTTTTCGTATTAAAAAATTTCTGATTTTCAGCATCGAAAATTTTTATTTTGGAGACGTTTTTTTAACTCAAGAATTTTATTCCCGTAAAGTGTTAGCCATAAGCTTCACGATTTTATATCTACGGTGTTGAAAGTAGTTGGATTTTATGTTCTATAGCAAAAAACCTAAGTGTGCCTCAAGGCACTCTTGTCGTTCGGCGCGATGTTTTTTACGCGTCGCATTTTTCTATTGCGTTTTAGTTATAGTGCTTTTTGTGCCATCATTCCAGGCATGAGTTGCATTTGATTGATGCCACGCTCCGCTGTATCCTGTTCTGACACACATGCTGTGTGGGAAACCAAGAGCTGCTGGTTAGTCCTCGCACGCGAATAGGAGCCGGTGGCTGGTGGCCGTGTAGTCGGTTGACGCTGCATGGCTTGAGCAACAGGGTGCCGCAAAATCTGTGGTTCACTCCTTATGCGACCTAAGGCCTGAGCAGGTTCATATGTGAAGCCATCCGTTACAGGTGTTGCACCTAATCGATGTGGAGCTCGGATGAAGTCTCTGACAAACGCAGCAAAAGTAGATTTCTTCTTCAAGGTTGGGCTGAATTCCCGCCCCGAGAAGAAGGATCCGGAGTAATACGACTGCAAGGTATTGTTTGATGTATGAAAACGATTGATGGGGTTAGCCGATCTAAATGCGGCAAGGTCGTCGAAATAGTAGAGGTCGCAAACAATCGATAGCACTATCGGCGCTCTCAATGGTTTCAGACTATCGTTTTAACTATCGATGGTTTCAGATAATCGGATTGATTATCGATAGTTTAAATAAAATGCAAAAGTGTCAAAGCAAAATTTTACAATGAACGCGAATTAATTTCACATTAGCTTTTGATATGGTTTATGCGAGGGCAGTGAATTATATAATCTTTTAATTAGTGGGCTGAGGAAAAGGTTATAAAATACGAACACCCGTTAGTGACTAAAATAGCAACCATCTTGGATTGGCGCAGTTAAAAGGATGGATTCCTGCTCAAGCTAAATCTGCCAGCAGCTGCCAAAATAGTACAGAATGAGATGAAGCAGATATGCGTAAAACATAGTGCTGCAGTTCAAGATTCTTCAGTTTTTTTTCTATTTCATTGGTATGCTGGTTGAAAGTAGGAAACAATTGTCTGGTATAGATTAAATTATATAATTTCGTCAATATTATGAAAATATTAACATCACGAAAGGTGCAGACCCTCTTTCATTTTAGTAGGTATTAAATAGCTCTTGAGAACAGAATATAGATTTCGATAAACATAGTATTTTATAGCTCTGAGTCCCTAGAAAGAATACGCGCTGAAAATTTATGCATTCCATCAAGTTCGGTGGAGTCAGAGCGTACATATTTTCAGCAAAGCCGGAATAATTTCAACGGCACACAAAATAAAGTGGTGTGTGCTTTTAACCACCGGTATGTATTTCGACTCGCAGAATCGAAATCCGTTTAACTCGTACATAGGTTTGCCAACTGTACTATAATACTTATATAGTATTGTACTATCTTTCGGTCGGCGTACTATATACTGTTGAAAAAATATAATATGCAAAAATATTATATTTCTTCAGCTACAAATATAAATATATATCAGTAATTTGCAAGAAAAAATCTGTATCAAAATGGATGACCTTTACACTGAAATAACAATATTAAATGAAACATTCTTTAAAGTAAAAGGTCATAGTGAGGCAAAATTGCAACATATTTTTTAAAATACTGTGAATGAATTACCAAATTCACTTAAAATGATTTCATTTCTTTAAGACAAAGCGACTACCTCACTGATAAAAAATGAATTTTTGATTTGTGTACATTAATTGAAATTTTGATTGCGATAAAGCATATGATACTTTCATAGTTAGCAATGAATTGTTAAAAACTGCCAAGAGTGCAAAGATATGTATATTCTTAAAAAACAAATGCATAAGAAAGAAAAAAGGTGTATGTACACTAGGGCGGAGTAATTTAATTTCGAAAAAAGTGTGTGTTCGATTGTAAGCAAAAACGGTGAACAAACTATATACCAGGGGCGCACCCAGGAATATATTTTGGGAGGGGTTTTTACCTCTAAAGATATATCACCAGAAAATACTGAAAATTCGCTTTATGCAAATTTTACGTACAGTATGTAATAATTAAAATTAACTTTTTAAAGTTTCATAGATTGCACTTTATTTGCATAAAATTAAATATTCATTTTTTATTATTTCGAATACGGAAAAAATTAACTGAACTTGTATTTTTATTATGTATGTATGTAGCTCATTTTGGTGGAACGAATTCGAAGTTGGCAAATTAAATCTTCGAATCCTTGTTAAGTTCATATCAGTGGTAAACTCTTTTAGGCTGTAAAGTGTAAAACACAACATTAATAGAGTATGCATTGCATATTTTTAGGACAATGTTTTCATTCTATCAAAATTTCTTAAATCAGTTTGCAGCTGTCAAGAAAAAAATTCTCGTTTATTTATTTCTTCTAGAAAATTTACAGCAAAAGCAAAGTGCTTGTTCAAGCAACAGAATAATAAACAAGTAATTTTTAGCAAAAAAAAAACGGCTTTAAAAAAAATATATATATATCTATATATTTCATGATCCAATGATCGGATCTAAACCAAATTAGTATGGGACCACCTCTGAGACACTACCTTTCCGTTGCAAAAAGAATTATCGAAATCGGTTGACGTGGTCCAAAGTTATGCGGTAACATACATAAAAAAAAAAAAGATTCCGACGAACTGATAACCTCCTCCTTTTTTGGAAGTCGGTTAAAAATATTTCTTGTGATTTTTCTTGAGAGCGGGATTCTAAGCTTTAAGGTATTTGCGGTTTTAGCTTTAGGGGGGGTTATGTGCTATATACCAAAAATGGCGATTGACCCTCCCAATTTCTAAAAGAAAAACCAGCGTATTATAATTTTTCTGAATGAAATTGGCTTTCCAATTACAAAATTTTGTGTTTTCTTCATACAATATACTCGTCGTTTAAAGTACAAAACCGCATATCGTTGTTCTGCTAAACCGCGTGACTGACATTTTCTGCCAAAAAGTGGATTTGCTCACCGCTCTTGGGTCAAACCTTATCCATTGGTCCTGAATATACTAGCCAGAAATGTGATTTCTGTATAAAAGAGAGAACAATTTTGAAACTAGAGTGTTTTTACTCTCTGTAAAATAACTTATGCAACCTCACATACGCGGTTTTGCATTATCTTGATACGCGTTTTTGTACTTTAAACGACGTACTGCTGCTCCGTTGGAAAATTGGAAGGGTCAAACTTCATTTTGCACTTTCTTTGAGAATTTTGAAAATTACTCCGCCCTAATGTATACTTAAAAGTGTTTTTACTTTTTCTAATAAATAAAATACTATATATATATATTTGAAGTGTACTATATTTTTTCAGAAGTTTTGAAAATGTTGGCAACCCCGCTCGTACACCCTCAAAGTCTCGAAAATTGCGAACTTTTTGCCATTTTTCGCAATTTACTCGAAATATTGAGGGTTTACGAGTCAAACGGACCTCAGATTCGAATTCAGCGTGTCGAAATTCATGTCGGTAGGTGACTCTGGTTAAATGCATAAACCATTTTTCTTGTGTACCGGTGTACCGACTGAATTTTGAAATTTATTTTGTATGTGTGTGCCGGTGCACTCAAAATTCAGGCGGTAGACCGTTTTGAGTGCACCGACACACACATGCAAAATAAATTTCAAAACTCAGTCGGTAGACCGGCACAAAAAAAGTGGTATATGCATTTAATCAGACTTAAATAATCTTTTAGTAAATGAACAAATATTCAATAAATAAAAAGGGTCTTAAGTTTACAATTTCAATGTCATTTAACTTTGCATCATATGAAATTAGACTTGCCAACATGGTAATACATACATATGTATACATACGTAGATTATGCAAACACACATATAATTCAAATGAAAACTATCGAACACTATCGAAAGTCTATCGATGGTTTGTAAAAAACTATCGCACACTATCGATGTTGCCGACTACCGAGAGTTTCAGACCTCTACGAAACAGTAGGCTTTTGTAGGGAAAACCCTGAGTCATTCCAGTATGTAGAACCGGCTTCTTCGGCCACGGTACATAATGATGCCACTGATTTCATATGCGGATTTGGCGAACAACGATCTCTGAGAGAAAAAGTGAGTTGAGTGGCGAAAAGACGCACATTTTATATTACACAAGAGGAGTGTACGTATTTTAACTGCGTCTGTCTATCACCACATGGTTGATTAAGCTTC